CATTTACTCATTTATTGTCTATTTATTTATTTGGCCATGCAACATGCAGGACCTTAGGTCCCCAATGAGGGATCGAACCCGAGCTCCCCTGCAGTGGAAGCATAGAGTCCTAACCACTGGACCACCAGGGAAGTCCCTCTTCTCTTCTTATAAGGTCACCAGTTCTCTTGGATTAGGACCCCACCCCTAAGACCTCATGTAACATTAGTGACCTCCCTGCAGTCCCCATCTCCAAATACAGTCACATTAGGGCTTCAACCTATGGATTGGGGGGCAGGGGTGGAGGAAAAAGAAGTTGACACAGTTCCGCCCATGACACAGCTCCTGTGTGTGACAGTGTGGAGCAGCATGACGGGGACCAGGGATGACTGGTTGTGTTATTTCATATTTTCTGGACGTAGAACCTCTGAGTAGCAAATTCAGCTAGAGAATGAACCACGAAAAATCTGACATTTTGTTTCCTTCATCTTGTCTTTTTTCTTATGTTGATGATGAGTTTAACATACAGTTTGGGTGTTTGTAGATTCTCATTGGACAATGTATATGGAAAGACTTCTTACTCAGTAATTGTGTAACGGGCATGAGGGGGTGTTGTCCATAGGAGGAATAAACCTGTGGGAAAATATTCCTTGTTGTTGTTGTTCAGTCGCTAAGTCGCGTGACTCTCTGCAAGCTCATGGACTGTATCTCACCAGGCTCCTCTGTCCTCCACTATTTCCTGGAGTTTGCTCAGATTCATGTCCACTGAGTCACTGATGCTATCTAACCACCTCATCGTCTGCTTCCTCCTTCTCCTTTGCCTTCAGTCTTCAATATTCCTTATATTTGTAGTAAAATAGAAACAAAGTTGAAGACTTGAGTTTTTCTGTATGTGGGTGAAAGTGGCTGAAAGCAGGAGACGGTAGTAAAGGTCAGTTTTGTCATCCTTGTGGGGAGGGGACATGCTCATGACATTGCTGAGGGGCAGAGATGTTGGACCAGCCTGGCAGCAGGAGAGCTTGTTGTTGGTTCTCAAAATACCTGCAGATTCCTCATTCCATCAAATAGTACTTACAGGAATTTATCTGGTGAAAATGTGAGAAATGTAAAGATGGGATAAAATGACAAATAAAAGATGGGCGAATCATGATGCATATAGCTATTGAGTGCTAAGTATTTATTTATTACATCATTAAAACGTAGAATAATTTTTGTTGACATGTTGCTGAGCAAAAAATTTTTTTTAAAAACTTAAAACTTTAATGGTTTTATTATGCAAAATAAGTCAAATCAGAAAAAAATATATTAGAAAAACCTATGTCAAAATGCCAAAGTAAATATATTCATCTGGGATGGTAGGATTACTAATGGTTGCTTTTCCTTTGTTTTTTTTGTTTGTTTGTTTGTTTTTGTCTCTCTACATTTTCTAGATTTCCTGGAGTTAGCGCAGATTAGCTACTAATTTTAATGGATTATTTAAGACTAAAGGACTTAACCATAGACTAACAGTTGGAAGGCGTAAGGCTTTTTCTACTTACCAGTCAGTAATCCAGGGCTTGGTTCTGGCAGTATTTATGGAGCCCTCTCTCTTTTCTGTGAGTGAAAGTGTTAGTTGCTCAGTCAGGTCTGACTCTTTGCCACCATATGAATGGTAGTCCACCAGGTTCCTCTGTTCATGGGATTTTCCCGGCAAGAATATTGGAGTTGCCATTCCCTTCTCCAAGGAGTCTTACCAACCCAGGGATAGAACCCAGATCTCTTGCATTGCAGGCAGATTATTTACTGTGTGAACCATCAAGAAACTCTTTCCTGTAAGCTCTTAGCTAAGGTTGGGAGTGAAAGCTGACAGTCTTTATGGCCTATACATAGTAATGACTAATGGTTAAATTAAATCTAGATTTTAAAAATTACAATGATAGAAATTATTCCAAGTCATTTTCACTAGGTATGTAGAGGATGTCTTGGGTAGCAGTGGCTTTGTATGGTGGAAAAAGCCTTGAAGATTTCACTTCTCTCTCTCTTACTGCCATATTGGGAAAGGGGCTAGATAGATAACAGACAGAATCGTTCCCTATACTCTATGGGTCAAAGTTATTGAGTGCCTAAGGGTATACTTTGATTCTTTGCCTATTAAATCCCATATTTTATGATGACAGGTGACTGTCGTACTTTTAAAAGTTACATTTTATAAAAATTGGTGTGTAGATGGCATTTAGAAGGCAGTACCAGTTATAAGAAACAGGCTGACACATCAAAACACACTAAAATAGCAGGGGGGAGGGAGGGGAAAGGGAGAAAACTGAAGTTCTAGGGCCTCTTACGTTACTTAATAACTTTGGAACCTCAGACAATTTCTTTGTCAGAAAATTGCACTTATGATAATATGGGCCCAGAGCTTGAATTTGAATAGGCCCCCCAAAATTTGGGCTTCCCTGGTGGCTCAGATGGTAAAGCATCTGCCTGCAAAGCGGGAGACCCGGGTTCAATCCCTGGGTCAGGAAGATCCCCTGGAAAAGGAAATGGCAACCCACTCCAGTACTCTTGCCTGGAAAATTCCATGGACTGAGGAGACTGGTAGGCTACAGTCCACGGGGTTTCAGAGTCGGACATGACTAAGCGATTTCACTTTCTTTCTTTCACAAAATTTAGAAAACACAAAAGTTAAAATAATCATTTGAGATATATAAGAATCCTTCTTCCTCAGCATAAGGCTGTTCTTATACGAAGTCCCCTTTGGAAGCCACTGACATGGATACAGGTGGAGACGCAAGGTCAAGGGGGCGCCCCCGCTGGCCAGAGGTGACTTTTCATCCAAGACCTGCCATTTTCCTTTCTTCTTTCTCTCTGCCCCTGCTCTCTTCTCCTACCTCCCAAACTTCCTCTAAGTGGAAGGACGTGACTTTCAGGCTATTTTACCTGGCAAGACATGTGTTGATCTGTTTATCTGTATCCTTGTTATTTTTAGGCTTGATGAATTAAGAAAACCACATATGAAAGTAAATTGAATGCCCAAAAGTACTTTAAAAAAAATCTATTTATTTATTTGGCCACACCAAATCTTAGTTGTGTTCAGCTTCAACCCCTCTGACCAGTCCCCAAAGTACTTTATTTTTAACTTCTCACCCCCTGGCACAATTACCTAAACCTCTTTCTTTCCCCATTTTTGGTATCCATCTAACATGAGCTGTATCCATCACCTACTATACTTTCAACTTGTTTGCCATGGTTGCCTTTTGCCAAACTATATTTCCTTTGATACATATTCTTTGCTCACATTCTGGTTGTTAATGTCATTTGCCAAACCCTCCCATATATTCTATGTTTGTGGTATTTATTTTTCCAATGATATCCTAATCCCTATTTGTAATATATTGAACTTGGTAGTTCAGTCGCTCAGTCGCATCCAACTCTTTGCAACCCCATGGACTGCAGCATGTCAGGCTTCCTTGTCTATCACCAACTCCTGGAGCTTGTTCAAACTCGTGTCCATCGAGTCAGTGATATGGAACTTACTTCAAAATAGAAAAATGATTCAAAAATAAGTTGGAATGCCCAATGAGAGCATTAGATAACCACTTTTTTATTGTCATATATTTTCAGGAAAAGTCTATACTGGTGCCCTTCAGGATTTGTGTATCCCTAAATTATTAACTAAATGGGGCTTCCCAGGTGGCACTAGTGGTAAAGAACCTGCCTACCTATGTGAGAGACAAAAGAGACGAGGGTTCAATCCCTGGGTTGGGAAGATCCCCTGGAGGAGAGCATGGCAACCTGCTCCACTATTCTGGCCTAGAGAATCCCATGGACAGAGGAGCCTGGCAGGCTACAATCCATAGGGTCACAAACAATTGAACTGAATTGAAGTGACTTAGCACACACACATACAGCTAATATATATGGTACAAGCCCTGCTAAGAAAATTATGTTGCTTATTTTGAAGCCCATGATGCTCAGATACAGTATATTTGAAAATACTTTTTAATATTCACACAGCACTGATTCCTAGAAGGACTTCTGATGTAAAGCCTTAAAGCAAGAAAATAACCTTGATTTACTCCAACCTCTTATTTAAACAGATTCTTGTTGTGCCTTTATAAAAATTACCCTCGGTTAATTATTACTTCCTCTACTAATGACCATTGCTAAGTAATACATGTCACAAATACTTCAGTCTTATTTCTTTGTGTGGGAAAGATAAGTACAATGAAGCCCAGTAACTTCTGCGCGTCTTGTCTTTAGCCTGTGCACGTGCGTCCCCGAATGAAATGGGCTGTTATCTGAGCCTCTCCTTTCTTTCATCCGTGAACTCAGACAGAGTAAACAGTGACAAACAAGTGTCGCCAGCTTTGAAACATTCGTCTGCTGCCAGTATCTGAGTTAGAACTCAGCAAATATTTGTGGAGTAGGCTAGCTATTTACTTTGTTTGACAATACCAACCAAACTTCTTAGGTCAGTTGTGGTGTTTCTTAATTACTTATAAGTTACTGATCACTTATTGTGTGTGATTTCCATAAAGGAGAATATATTTAGTTTTTTGGGGGGTTGAAAGTATGTGGGTGTGCAAGTAATAAATATATGTAGATATACATATAAATATATGTAGATAGCAAATGGTAGCTTGGTTAGCTTCTTTTGTAGACTTAATGCTTATTTATCTCTTTACTCTTTCTCATCATCTTACTTGCCTTCTCTGGCTCGTCGTTACTTTCTCTGTTTACCTCAAAGACAACACACCAAGTTGAGAGTGTATTTTGGAATTTTTGTCGCGGTGGACATAGGAGAAAGTGTCTATTTTCTTGTTTCCCTTTCTGCAGTTATGTCCCGTGCTTTCTCTGTGGTTCATGCGTCTCATCTTGCCAAAGTGTGCCTCTTAGAGCTGTCTGCTTTTGTTGTTGTTCAGTCACTAAGTTGTCTCCGACTCTTTGCCACCCCTATGGACGGCAGCACGCCAGCTAGTTAGGTGTGTTTACAGGGACAACATCCAGTCCCATTAAGTGTGTTGTCTTGCATTGCAGGAGCTATGCCTGTCCCAGACCAGCCTTCGTCAGCCTCGGAGAAGACCAGCTCCTTGAGCCCTGGCCTCACCACCTCCAATGGGGATGGCTCGGAAACAGAAACCACCTCTGCCATCCTTGCCTCGGTTAAAGAACAGGTAGAAACTTTCCACTTTTCTGACATACATATTGGGACATTTTTGAAATTGTTCTTTCTGGATGAAAGCTGGTAATTTAGTTGTGTTGGGGAGAAAATCATGATTTTCTAGCAGGATATTGGTGTTCATTATACCATTGTTATTAAAATGTGATTATAGCAGCTTTTGACTCAGTTTTTATTCAAGATGTAGGCAGCTTTCCTTGCAAAAATAGTCTACAGAAAAAGAGAAAAAATTGTAGTCAAATTCTTCCAGGTGAAGTGTTAGCAGATTCACTGATGGATGTGATGTTTAATACCATTAAATGTGTGAAGCCAAATAATTGGTCTGTGGGAAACCTAAAGTCTAGTAAAGTTTCAAAGTATATCCATGATGCTAAAAAATTGATAAGGGTGAGAACAGATGACTGTCATGGTGGGCTAAGCAAATTCATTTTCTGCGTGTTTCTGAGAAGGCTTTGGGAGAATACATTTCAGAACTTTTCCTGAAAAACTAAAGTCTAAATGATTCTTCTTTCACCATTTCTTCGCCATAAAAATGGATAAGCAAATAAAATCTGAAGTCTCATATTTAAAAGTAATTGTTTCATAAAATTCATGTTTCTTCTATATAAAAGGTGGTAATTAACGAAAGCTGGAAAATCAAGTTTTTTATTTTTGCTTCTTTTCCTTACCATGGACTGGAATGTAAATCAGTGTCTTGTTTTGTCTTGTTTTAAGTGCAAAAGCATCCTGTCTTTGAACTGTGTTATTCAAGGATGCTGAATTAGCAACAGCAGTGGGAGAAAAGTGACAGTTTTCTGAGCCCAAGAACATCTTAACAGAGCGATAGACTAAATGGGGCAATTACAGACTCAACTAGGAGAAGGCCTTTGGTTTTCCTAGAGAACACTGATTTTGTTTAATAAATGGGAACTGATTTAGGTAAAGGTTGATGACCAAGCTATCACGGAGTAGCTAAGGAAGTATCCATTGAAGGAATCAATGATGCTATTAGTTAAAATTGTGTCACCAGATCAGAAAGTGTGAAGCAAAAGTAGGAGAGATGAATGAATGGGTTGGATAATCTAGTTTTTATAAATGGTAAGTAATCAGGAAATTGGGTTGAGGCACCGACATTCTTCTAAAACCCTACCCACGGCGTTTTCTGGCTATTTTTCATGAGTAATGGAAACAGAGAGGGAAAGCCCATGCTACTTCTCATGCTCCAGATTCTGTTTTGTTATATCCCTGGGTTATGTCGTGGATTTTTATTCTGGCATAGACTAGACATCTTGCTAGGCCACTAGCTTTAGAGTAGTGACAAAGCGTAAGGCATGAGAAATAAATTTAATAAGACAACCAGACCTGTCTGACAAAAAGATCCCACTTGCCTTGTGGCATGGCCTAAAAATAAAAATATATAAATAAAGAAAATAGATAAGCAACAAGCACTAAAATTTTTAAAAAACTTACTGTGAAGAGTTTATTTTCTAATTATTAAACTCGTTTCATTGCTTATAGATAAGGTGAGATTCTTTGTGACAAATAAGTAATATGAGGAGGAGTGAAAATCTGTCTTGGGAAGCTGAGATAGAGCAGGTGGTAACACCCAACTCAGAGCCATGGGCGTCAGCTTCCATGTGTGGTGTCTGCCAGTTTGAAGCAGAGCCCATGGACTTCCTTGGGGTGGCCTCATGGAAACAACCAATCTCTTCCTTCACTGGGGGATTTTTGTCCTAAATTATTCTTCAGACGTCCTTCCTCTCTTTTTCTCAGGGATAGACCATTTTTTTATGGAGTTAAAACTAAGTTAAATATATTTTTAAAGAGCTTTAGCTGAAATTAAGGAAAATAACTTTAAAAATTAATACCTTCTATGATTCTTAATACTTATATGCATAATCTATTTACAAATCTTTTCACTTAAGGGATATTTGCCTGGCCCTCTTTAGGTGCTAATAAGAAATAACTTTCTTGAGCAAAAATACTATTTCTTCATTTAGAGAATTTCAGGTAAAAATTTGATGGCATTATACTTATTACCACTCTAGTCCTGACTCCTTGGGAGTCGTTTCTACGGTAGGGAAGTTATTTTTTATTTTTAATCACAGCAGGCATATATTCTGAGTTGACTGGGTATAACAGACTATATGATTTAATTACTCATTCATTAAATATACTGAGTATATTATACCGGTAAATTACAGTAAAGAGTAATAATGGAAATGAATATGTAAAGAAAGCTCAGTCTAGTAAGAGTTCATTGGAATACATTGTTAATGAGACTAAGAACACAGGTTCTTAGGCTGGTAGTTGATATTGCATGGCAATAAATTCTGGTCTATAACCATTGAATAGAACTTACATCACGCCAAACCCTCAACCATGGAATGTGTCCCGTGTGGCATGTATGACTAAGGCATTTGTAAGCTGAGTCCTAAAATGTTTGAGCACTCATCAGTCATGGACTGTTCAGTGAAAAGGTGTTCATTGATCTTTCTTCTCTGTTCTGATTTCCCATCTCGATTGCTTTTTAACTGATGAATTTTGTACTTTTGTATTAACATAAACAGACCGACCATTTATGCTCTACTCCGTGGATAGTTTTCTGAGTTCCAGAGACATCGGTCTCATTTCCAACATTCACCAAGTCTCTCGTCCTGTGGGGCTCTAAGTGGGGAGACACTCAGTCCTACTCCTTCTCCTGTGTGTGTGTCCTTGACCAGAAGAGGAAGAGAGGACAGAGGTTGGGTGATGATTCTTGTCATGTCATCTGAACAAATAGCTGAGAGGATACTGACAACCATTCATCACAATGAGGAGCCAAAGTGATATGATGGCTAAAAGGGTGAGAAGGGTCAAGGGATTTGAAGATAGGAGATGATTGCTATGATGGTGGCAGTGACCCGTAAGAAGAGAAGAAATTAGTGATGCTTGACAGAGGGGGTGTGATTTCAGGGGGAAGGTTACTGGGTAGATGAGAGTGAAGGGGACCCAGTGCACCAGTGGAGGGAACAAAGTTCATCTGTGAGAACAGGAGAATGACAAAGTACATGGTTGCAGGTGGGCTGGTGACTTGACACTGGAAATGTGTGTATTTCTATTCTGCTGTGATCAGGTAGACATGGTCAGCACATTCTGAGTTGGAGCCTGTTTGAAGTCTGAAAAACTGGAGGTGGAGAGGGAAAGGCATTGGATATGATGGATGTAAGAAAATGACTATAATGATGGATATTGGAATTGATGCTGAGTGACAAGGGGTGAAAGACAGGAAAATTGATAGGAACAAAGGATTCACAGAGTGAATAGCTACAGATGCTGATAGCATGAGAACCAGGTGCTTAAGTCAGGAATTTGAAAGCAATTATTGTTAATGTCGAGGCCTAGGTTATGACTCTGGGAAGTAAGATCAAATCAAGAAAAGAGAGAGAAAGATTGTTATTGACTGTGAAAGCTACTATAAGAATGATGGCAGGGCAGTGGCTCAAATCCCCATCACTGGAGAGGAGAGACCCAAGGCTTCCCCATGACTGCAAGAAATACAAACATGTTTGCTTCCGGTTTGCCTGACAGTAGTCATCTGATCTTCATTTTCTTGTTTTCATTTTTTAAAAAAAATTGTTCCAATGCTGGTCTGTAGTATTTGACAAGATTTTACATTTACTTGCTCTATGTAATGTTGATCTGTATATTTTATCTTAAATCAATATGTGTACTACTTTGCTCTTAAGAAAACCATGAGTTTCCTAAAACTGCACCTGTTTTGAAATATATTTTTTTCTTTCCCTTCAGTTGATCAGTGTTTAATTTGATCATCATATGCTTTCAGAGCTGGTGTCTAAAGCGTCTTCTTATACAAACTAGAAAAATCATGGGAGTTTTTGTTAACTATTTTTTTTTATTGAAGTATAGTTAATTTACAATGTTGTATTACTTTCAGGTATAGAGCAAAGTGACTCAGATAAATATACATATATACATATATATATACACACAGACACACACACACATACTCGACATATCCTTTTTCAGATCCTCTTCCATGGGCTGCTTCTTAAAAACCTTTAGATTTTTGAATAGAGCTAATATAGTTTATTGATCTTTGTAAATTATTATGGTACAGATAAATGTGTACAAAAAATGTTTTTTGTAATGATTCTACCAATGAAATATGTTTAATAATGAACAGATTAAATAGAAAATTCTGAGTACAGAACAGTAAATGCAAATGTGCTATATTGTTGTATTTATTTGATAGTGTTTATCACATGCTGGCTATATGCTTAGAACTGTGCTTTCCCTGGGTGATACACAGATTTGGAGTATTTTTGCTTTCAAGTATAGCAATGAAGCTAAAAATATAAGACAAACACATATAAAAAGTTATAAAATATTTTTAAAATTGTGGGTGAGCTATTTATTTATTTGTTTGTCTTTGACTGTGACGGGTCTCCGTTGCTGCGTGGGCTTTGCGCTAGTTGCAGCGAGCGGTGCCTCCTCTGGTTGCATTGTGTGGGCTTCTCGTTGCAGTGGCCTCTCTGGTTACGGAGCATGGGCTCTAGAGCTCACTGGCTTCAGTAGTCTCTGGACTCTGGAGCACTGGCTTAGTAGCTGTGGCACACGGGCTTCGTTGCTCCGAGGCATGTGGGATCTTCGCAGATCAGGGATAGAACCTATGTCTCCTGCATTGGCAGGCGGATTCTTTGCCACTAAGCCACCACCAGGGAAGACCTGTCAGTGAAGTTTTAAGAAAACACCCTAGTCAATATATTATAAAATTCCAAATGGTTTGTAACAATAAACATATTCCTTAAAATTGATTGTGTTTATAACTGTAGATTCTCTATTGCTGCAGTAACTTCTCGTGTTCTTTAAGTTCCACAAAGACTGAAGATTATATTATTGCTTTCAAAGGAAATTTTGAGTATCCTGATTTAGGATATTGGTAATTTTTAAGTAATAAAACAGGATTATTTTGCTTTTAATCATCTTTGTTATTACGTTTAATGTAGAAAAGTA